TCAAGGCCAGCTTGGTCTACAAAGGTAGTCCAGGATAGCCAGAGCTACACATAGAAACAATGTCTCCAGAGGGGAAAATAAAACAAAACAAGATACTGTCTGCTCTTCCAGAGGACCTGGGTTCAATTCCCAGCTCCCACAGGGCAGCTTTCAGTTGTCTATGACTCTAGTTCTAGGGCATCCAGTGCCCTCTCCTGGCCTCCTCAGGCACTGCACAAGCATGATGCGCAGACAGACCTGCAGGCAAGAGACCCACACACATTTTTTCTTTTAATTAAAATAATTAAAAATATTGGGCTGAGGCTAAGACAAGGACTAGCTAGAAGATACTAGGGAATTATCTAACTTTTCTAGTTAACTTTCTGGGCTGGCAAAGTGGCTTAGGAAATAAAAGCACCTGCTGGGAAGCCTGACATGAGTTTGATTTCCAGAGCCCACGATGCAAGAACCAAGCTCTGAAAGCATCCTGCTCTCACCCCGCCCCGCGGCCTGCGTGCCCACAGTCCCTCTCACGTAGACACACAGTGATAATGATCAGTAAAATGATTTTTAAAAGATGTTTCTGGTTAACTCTCCTGGTGTAATCTCAGTGATGTGGTTATGCAAAAGAATATTCTCTACATACAAGTGAAAACCGAGGGGAAACAGTCTGCTGCCAACAGTGTGCCCCAGCCAGCTCCTGATGGTGACTATCAAATGTTTTAGAATTCTGTGCTCATGGCAGCTTGGAGTCAGCCATGATAGGTGTACCACAGGAATCTTCAAATGCTACATGGAGAGCTAACATACAAGCTTACTGCTGCCTACAGCCCCTCCCGCTCCCCCTCATCTTACAGAGTCCAGGCTGGCCTTGAACTCCTTATCCTCCTGTTTCCAACTCCTGAGTGCTGGGATGCTGGGGTTACAGGCATAGACTACCACACTCAGCACTGGAGTTTTCAAATACTTTATAATTAAATTTTGTTTTGTTTGGGGGTTTGCTTTCTTTTGTTTGTTTGTTGTTGTTATTTTGGTTTGTGTTTTTTTCTTTTTTGTATTTTGTGAGGGGGCAGGTGTTGGTTTGGTTTTGGTTTTGAACATAGGGTTTCTCTGTGTTGCTCTAGCTTTCCTGGAACTTCCTCTGTAGACCAGGATAGCCTCACACTCAGAGATCTGCTTGCCTCTGCCTCCCAAATTCTGAGATTAAAGGTGTGTGCTGCCATTACCACCTGGCTTATAATTAAATTTTGAAGAAAAAAAAATTTTTTTGCCGGGCGGTGGTGGCGTACGTCTTTAATCCCAGCACTTGGGAGGCAGAGAGGCAGGTGGATTTCTGAGTTCAAGGCCAGCCTGGTCTACAGAGTGAGTTCCAGAACAGCCAGGGCTATACAGAGAAACCCTGTCTCGAAAAACCTAAAAAAAAAAAAAAAAAAAAATTTAGCCTGTTTTTCAGAGCCATGCTGGGCCCTGAGACCTGGCTCTGCCAGCTGTGCCGTTCTCGGCTGTGTTCCTCCCTGCACTCTGGCAGTGTTCCTCCCTGTACTCTGGCTGTGTTCCTCCCTGCACTCTGGCAGTGTTCCTCCCTGTACTCTGGCTGTGTTCCTCCCTGCACTCTCTGCTGCTCTCCACTGCTTTCTCCCCTGCAGTCACCTTGCTACTCTTGACCCTGCGTCACATCAAAGCCCACTCTGCAAGACTTTCTGGTATCTGTCCTGGTTGACGCCGTCTCCCCTGCCCTGCACCCATACCACATCGCTGCCATGGTATCGCTGCATTTCAGTTCCTCTTTAGTTAACTCCTGGTCCTTGAGCAGAGAGGACATGACTCTCACATGTGGTGGGTGCCCCTAGAGCTCTTAGGAACTCAGCATTTGACTTCTCTTACAGACACCCACATGCCTGCAGTTGCCAGCCTAGAAGTCTAAGACACTGACTTGTCCAGTCCAGGTCCAGGAACACTGCAGCACTAAAAAGAGGGCCACACTCTCCTACCAAGTGTCTTCCGCATCCGAGTCCAGCCACCTTTGAGACAGTAGATCAAGCCAAAACTGATTGGATCTGATTAGGTGGAATGCCATAGTCAATGAAAGCTGAGGCCTTGGAGGGAGAGCTAAGCAGGCTAAGCTGTAGCCATGAGTGTAATCAAGGATTTTACTATCCAGTAACCTGTGCTCTCATGCAGCCCCCCCAAGCATCCCCCACGGAATTGATATGATCTTCACTTAGAACCAAGAACAGTTAAGTGGCTTCCCTCAAATGGTGGAGCTACAATAGAAACTTGAGTCTGGGCCGGGCAGTGGTGGCGCACGCCTTTAATCCCAGCACTTGGGAGGCAGAGGCAGGTGGACTTCTGAGTTCGATCGAGGCCAGCCTGGTCTACAGAGTGAGTTCCAGGACAGCCAGGGCTACACAGAGAGAAACCCTGTCTCGAAAAAAAAAGAAAGAAAGAAAGAAACTTGAGTCTGACTGTGCGCTCAGTCATTCCCAGGAGACTGGGGAAGCCTAGGCCAGTCTCCATGTGGGTGCTCGCTCAGTCATTCCCAGGAGACTGGGGACGCCTAGGCTGGAGCAGTCTCCATGTGGGTGCTCAGAATGTAAAGTTTAGTAGAAAGTGGCTCTACAGGAGAAGGCAGCAGAAAAACGTGGCCTCTGAGGAGGATGGAAGTGCATACTGTAACCCATCTCGTGGGTGGGGGAGGCTGAGACAGACTGTGAGTCACTGTGAGTAGAAGCCAGCCAGAGACTGTATAGTGAGTAGGCCAGGCAGAGCGAGATGCTGTCTGCTCTGCCCCTTCCCCCAAAAGTGTGATGGCTTAGCAGGTAAAGACAAGCCTGATAGACGTTTGAGCCCCAGAACCCACATAAAAATGGAAGAAAAGAACCTGACTTCATCACCCACAATTTGGTGGCTATGTGCATGCATGTGTACTTGCACACACACACACACACACACACACACACACTGTAAGAAAAGCTGAAATGTGGCCTCTTCTGTCTATTATCCTGAGTCACTGAGCTTCCCTGGACCTCCGACCCCTTGATTCTGTAATTGGAGTAATATACCAGCATATATTTTTATTCATGTTTTATGCATTATACAGTATGTAGCTTAAAGTCTCACGGGGAAGTCAATACATGAATAGAACATTAAAGTACAGCACTGTAGTAACGCTGTACTCTAGTACACACAGGATACTCCAGAGGGAGAAGAGCAGCCAGGCCTGGTACCATCATCCTAGGTCACTGAGTGCCTTCCACCCAGGTCAAATCTGGGTGCTTACTAGGAGTAGAAAGACAGCCCCAAGGGAGCCAGTGTGTCAGCTCTGGAAACTGCAGCTAGTTCCCCTTAATACATGAGCGAAAAATAGAAGGGAGAAAAATGAAGCTGGCGAGACTAGAGAGAGAGCTCTCATTCCCCCTGGGGAACCTGAATTGCTAAGGCTGTTGGAAGGCAGTGACAGATTTTAGATGAGCCTATATTTGCATGTATAAACCTTTTTGGCAGTGTGGTCTGGTGGATGGAGTTTGGGAAAGCTCCTTAGGATGTGAAAATAACCCAGCTGGGGAAGATGAGAAGCCAGTGTAGCACAGCAAAAAAGTGGAAAATCCAAGAGCTCAAAGGAGCTGCACAGATGGATGTGTACTCACTGACTGTCAGTGAGAATGTCCACATCTGATCCCAGCGATGGCGGTGGCAGCACAGCCCTTTAATCCCAGCACTCGGGAGGTAGGTAGAGGCGGGCGGCTCTCTGAGTTCCAGGACAGCCAGCGCCTTCCTGGCAGGATCCAGGTCAGAGAAACCCTGTCTCCAAAAACAAAAAGGAGATATTCACAGCACTGGCAGGAGAGGCTGTAACGCTCTCTGCTGTGACTCAGGTATCCAGGCTGAAGAGGATCTCTGCTGTGTGGCGGTCCCCAGGGCCAGAGGGAAAACCCTAGAGGGATTCTCATGGTCAGTCCATGCTGCAGCCCATCCGTAACATGCGTCTTCCATGACTCATAGACTGGGTCTTGCTACCTGGCCCCACCCACTCCCTAAAGGTCAGAGGAGTCAGCAGTGAGGGAGACTTCTAAAGCCATCACTGAGAAGACTGTTGAACAGGACAAGTTCAAAAGGTGAAGCCTTTTCTAACTCTAAATATAGTGATTTTGTTTACTGTTTTTATGGTGGTGTTGTTAGTCACTTGTCGGGCCTTGTGCACGAGTGCAGCCAGCTGCTGTGGAAGCCACAGGACTGGAGTTACAGGCGTTGGGAGCCACCAGGACCGAGGATAGTGCAAGCCAAGGCAAATCTGCAGCCCCCTCTTTGTTTTTGTGTTTGTTGATTTGTCCTTTGAAATAGTGTCTTGCCATGTAGCCCTGGCTGGCCTCTAACTCAGAGAAATCCACCTGCCTCTGCCTTCCAAGTTGGAATTAAAGGTGAGCACTGCCTGTGCTGACCCTGTGGCCCTTCCTTTCTTACAGTCACAGAGGCTGACGTCAGGCTGCTGGCTAGTGAGGACCAGTGCATTTGCAAAATGCTTTGTTCCATTTTCCCAAGGAAAATATTTCGGTTTTAAATAAGTCATAGTCAGATTTAATACTATATGTCTTTCTTGAATTTTCATTTTGATTATTATGTCAACATAAGGTGTTTTAATTTTTTTTTTTTAAGTATGAATGAAGATGTTAATGGAGGCTTTTCCCCCTCTCCCGCATAAAATATCAGGCCACTGAATTCCAAATGCGGGAGACATCACCGCTTGGCCTTCATTACTGCCTTCCCAGCGTGAGACTTTGTGCAGATCAAGGGGCGGGTGTGAGCAGAGGAGTAACTGGGCTGATTGGAGCCTATTGTGCTGGCTTCTGTAGCCTTAGGGAGGTGATGGTGCCTGGAGACCACCTGGAAACATGTCCTCTTTCTCAAGACGAGAGCAGAAATACTGGATTTACATGTTTCCTGTCCCCCACCCCCACCCCAGTTAAATTGTGGTCCTCACTGTACAACCACAACTGACTTATTGTGCATTTATTTCTTAACAGTTGCGAGAAACAATCAAAGCTGGCAAAGGTGTGACTTCAGCTATTGACCTGTGTCGTTACCATGGAAACAAGGCACTAGCGGCCCTGGAGAGCTTCCCTCCCTCAGAGGCCAGATCGGCTTTAGAAAACATTGTGTTTGCTGTGACCAGATTTTCATGACACCAAATTAAAAAGACACTATTGTTCCTTAACTGAAAAACCCAGAAAATGAGGTGGACAGGAGAGCTTTTCGTGATGAAAAAAGTAACGTGTTTAATGACTTTAGAAATATATATGTATTTTGTTCCTGTCCTTTATCTCGTGCTTAATGAATCTGTCCTTTGGAACCACCACAAACAGACCGAGAAGGGAAAGGTCACGCGGTTTTCACTTGTCACGCCAGAGCACACTTGAGGCTGCAGCAACAGAAATAATTAATGAGGCTCGCTCCTGTGACCTCAGCAAATGGACAGGAAATAAGTCCTTATTGATTGGACCAAGCCCGGGATGGCGCCAGGGCGGTGGCTGTGGTTTTCCTTCCAAAGAGGACAGAGCAAGCTGTAGCTGCAGGTGTCAAGCGAAGCACTGGATGCCAGCCAGGGGAGACACATCGAAACTGATGGCCAGTCTATTGTAGTGGAGAATAGCGAGATTTGTTAAGCAGAAATCTGTGTTGCCTGCTGTCTTGAAATCATGTCTCTGTGCATGTAGTGTGAGAGCCCTGTGCATCCTCATTTCTATCTGATTTGGGAGAGGTGAAGGAAATGTTCAGTTGCCAAATACTTGAAATTGGATATTAAAGTGTTACCAAGTGTTGATTCGACTGTATAAGAAATTGTCTGCCTTTCTTTCTTAAAGATCAAATTTAGGACACATTTCAAGCTAGGCATGGTGGCACACACCTTTAAACCCAGCACTCGGGAGGCAGAAGCAGGTGGATCTCTGAGTTTCAGGCCAGCCTGGTCTACAGAGTGAGTTCCAGGACAGCCAGGGCTACACAGAGAGACCCTGTCTGGAAAACAAACAAAAAAGACACAATTCAAAGGCCAGGGTTTTTTCATTTCAAAAGCAGTGTATCCACTTATGATACTTTGTTTAGGAGACTCCCTCTGGTTTTCACAGCTTGCAGAAATGTAACTGTAACACTGGGACTGGTTGGTAAGAGTTTTGTTTTAGCCTCACAATGTCAACTTTGGATCTTGAGCCACAGACATTGAGTTACAGAAAGAACACTCACATAGGCCTGCGATCGGACTCTGTCTCCGTGTGGTCGCAGACGATACCCGTGGTTTGCACAGATGCAATCCGAGATTCCCGTTGACAAGAAGGCTGAATTTACTTAAATGATCTCAACGGAGACTCAGCTGCCTTTCCTCCTCGTGTGTGTAATTACAGCCCTATCTGAAGACAGACAACACGGGAAGCAGATTGTGTTACCTGCTGCACTCGAACACTAGGAGAAGTCATCTTAGTTCAATTCCTCCCCCGAAAAGTTCCAACCAGGACATGTGGCCCATGGTGAGGAGAAAGTGTAAGCCCACAGAGGTTAAGCTGTAAGAGAAGTGACGGTCACACACCCACAACATGTAGATTGACCATAGAAAACGGCACTCTGCTTGAACCATGTCTTCTCTGTGAGCATGGCTTAATTAGTAACTATGGTGACAATGCGACAGCTCTAGCCAGGTTCTAATCGTTAACTTCCCCGAGGAGGAGCCCGGATGTGCAGCTGAGCGGCTATACAAGCGAGGAGTCTTCCCTTCCTCCCCCATATCTGCTTCACTGTGTGGCCATTCAAAAGTCACTCCCCTCTCACCTCAATTTCCTCTCCCGTAACAAGAGATGAAAGGAGGTGAGTGAGTCCCTCCCAGGTTTGTTTGTGAGTGACTGTCATGCTGGAGTGGCCACACCTGCAGTCCCAGCACTGGGAGGCCGAGGGAGCCTGGCTAAGCTGCATAGTGAGTTCAGAGGCCAGCTTGGATGAAACAGACCCTGTCTGAAAACATACAAAGTTCACCATTTCTGACGACCTAGGAAAAGTGCTGCATCAGCTCCCAGAGGAGGGAAGGGGGACCTTGGAAGCCTCAGAGACCGCTAACACTGAGCTTCTGGCCCAGCTTGCTCACATGACCTAAACCGTTCCACCCGCCTTACCTGACACGTGACATGCTCCTGGATTCTGTGGCTCAACACCCATCTTTGCTTCTTTGGAGCCTTTCTGCCTCTCTTTTATCTTCCAGCAACTTCTGTGACCTCTATTCTGCCCCCTCCTTTAAAAAAAATATAGAGTCTCAAGGATCACAGACTGGCCTTGAACCCCCTAGCTAGCAGAAGATGGCCTTGAACTGGTATTCCTGGCTGCCTCTCCCAAGTGCTGTCTATATGCACTGAGATCCAGCTGTCTCCACCCTACAGCGCTGGAGTTACAGGCACACGCATGAACACCGCCAGCCATGGACAGGCATACTGGAACAGGAACTCAGCATCTCACGCTTGCAACAACACAATGCCTTTACCTGACGGGCCATCTTTCGGCTCCGCACCCTGTTCTTGAATCTTCCCTTTCTTCGTCACTGGCTATCCATGCTCCCTTCTCCCCATGCCTCAAGTCCTTCTCTTTACCCTGTTTGTCTCCTCCATTCTCTCTCTCTCCCCGCTTTAGAAGAAGCCATCTTGCAGGGTGGAGTGGGTGGTACAGGCCTTTAAAGCTCAGCACTCCAGAAGCAGAGGCTGGCAGAACTCTGACTTAAAGGGCAGCCTGATGTACAGGGTGAGGTCCAGACCAGTCAGTATTACAGTCTGACTACATCCAAAAGTCAAAACCCCAGAAACCCTTACAGTCCATTGGGTTTGTTTGTTTGTTTGTTTGTTTGTGTTTTTGTTTTTTTTTTTGGTTTTTTGAGACAGGGTTTCTCTGTGTAGCCCTGGCTGTCCTGGAACTCACTCTGTAGACCAGGCTGGTCTCGAACTCAGAAATCCACCTTCCTCTGCCTCCCAAGTGCTGGGATTAAAGGCGTGCGCCACCACTGCCCGGCTTGCACTACCCTCTCTTAATAGCTTCAGGGTCACAGGCAGACCCCTAAAGGACACCTGCAGAGCCCCTGAGCCCTGTGACCAAGCTCCAAGAGACAGTCTATCCTAGACATTTTGATTGTATTTCTCCAGAAACTACAATACAGAGCCTCACTAGTGCTAAGGAGTGCTCTGCTGGTGAGTTACATAACCCTCGGCCCCCAAATCTCTTTCATATTGTTTGAATTTGGTTTCCTTTTTTGAGACAGGGTCTCAATAAAGCCCAGGCTAGCTGTGTAGCCAATTATGATCTTGAGCTTCTGATTGTCCTGCCTCCACCTGGTGAGTGCTGGGATTGCAGACGTGTGTCCCACATATGGCTTATGCAGTACTAAGGAGGATAGGACTTTGTGCTTGCTAGAAGCAATGGGGAAGCGTGTCGTTCACTGATGGGGATGTGGATTAGCAGTAGAGTACAGACTAGCTTTCTCAAAGCCCTGAGATTCAACATCCAACGCTAAAAGAAAAGTGGGTGGGGCTGGGGGCGTGGCCCAGAGGTTTAGCGTACTGGCTAACTGGGACCTAGGTTCAGTCCCAGTACCCCTATGGTGGCCCACAACTGTCTGTAACTCTAGTTTCTGGGAATCTGAATCCCCTCTTCTAGTCTCCACGGAGACAAGGCATGTGTGTACATAGCACACGTACATGCAAACACTCTTACACATAAAGATAAATAACTTTTTTTTTAAATGGGCCTATGGCTCAGTTAGTAGATGTTTGCACAAAGCCCTGGTTTAATTCCCAGTATCCAGTGAAACCAGGCCTAATAGTAAACTCCTGTGATTCTAGTATTCCGGAGATAGAAACAGGAGGATCACAAGTTCAGTACATAGCTGCACAGTAAGTTTAAGGACAGCCTGGGCCATTTGCAATCCACTGCCATTTTATTTGTGTCTTTGAGATGTTTTTTCTTCACTTTCTTTGGCTTTTAGGAGGTTTGGGTTTTTTGGTTGGTTGCTTGGTTGCTTGGTTGCTTGGTTGGTTGGTTTAGTTTTGTTTTTTAGACAAGGCGTCGCTGTGTTTTCCAAGCTGGCCTCAAACTCATGGCTGTCAATATTCTTGCTTCATCCTACCAAGCCCCGGGCTTACAGGCCACACTGTCATATCTGGCTTCTTCCAGCTTACTTGTCAGGAATGTTTCTTTGTATGTTGTGATTATGGTATGGACTCCACCCTGGGTCCTCCTGTCTCTATGTACATTTTTCCATTGCATGCAGGCTTCACAGCTGTTACTAACAAGTATTAAAAGGCTAGCCTCTGCTACAAGGTGAGCTCTAAAAGCTAGCCTCTGATACAGGACATGTTCTGACCTGATACTGCCTTAGTGGCACTGGTGGTATGCAAGATACCGCTGGTCTGCATCCGTTCCCTGCCACACCCACATCTTCCATCTCAGAATCCAGTGTCTTCAGACCAAAGAAGCATTCTGTCGGCTGGCCATAGCTTCTCGTGGCCAGCACCATTGAGAAGTCATTCTGTGGGATGAGAAGCCCCCTTCACTTCTTCAAAGACTTAGAAGGACACTCTTAGGGTTTGTTCAAAGGGACACAAACAAAATGATCTTTGATGTAAAATTGTTCATGCTGCAAATATGTGAGCTTATTCTGTTGTTGCTATTTTTGCCCACTCTCTTCTGCTGCTCCTGCTGCTGTTCCTGCTGCTCCTGCTGCTGCTCCTGCTGCTGCTCCTGCTGTTCCTGCT